ATTTCCTTTTACTTTTAAAACATGATTTAATCTTCTTGGGATGGATTCGACTAATTTTTTTGCGATTTCTGGAGTGATTTTACCCCATTCTTCTTGAAGCACCGATTTTAATTGTTGTTTTGAAGAAATGGTGCGTTTGCGAAATTCTTTCCTGGGTTTTCTCCACACCAAGATTTTACCGTCAGAATCAAATATATTAAATTTACTCCCATCAGCAAATATAACTTCATTCCAGTAATCAGAATTCTTATTTATGTTGGATTTTGCGAAAGCCAGTCTGAGGTTTCTATTCTTTTCACTCACGAAGAATTTTTTCCTGGCTGCTCTACCGTGATATCCAGCAAATCGAATTACTCTTCCGATAGTCTCTAAGGATTAACAATTACTCCATATAATGCTTGTAAAGAAGCAGCAACTTTGGGAGCACTCATTCTTGGATTTTTTTTAATATTTCGAACGATAATTCGCTTTAGTCCATTGGATAGCTTTGATGGTCGGCCAGGTCTTCTTTATCCTGAATCATATGATTCTTTTTATATTGTTTAATGATATTTTTTATATCGTTTAATGATATTAAAAACTGTTGAATGACTCAGGTTAACGGTTTCAGCAGTTTCTCTAATAGAATTTCCATGTTCAATATGCACTTAATAACTAATTTTCGAATTTCAGGCAAAGTTTCTTTTCGTTTAGCATTCATGGCTGCACAGAGATAAAAAACACAAAAATTCCAAAACAAACTGGAGAGAAATACTGCAGACGATTGCGATAAATTATTGCCAATTGCTTTGAGTAAAAATAAAAACCCCAAAAAATATTTTTATTGCTTACTTCAGACGATTTTTGTTGCATAGTACGTAGTAGTATCTAATGGTGTCCCATCACTTATGTGAACCATTTTTTGCTCCGTTCTAAACAATTGTATTTTTATTAAATTAATATTTTGAGAAAATGTATGTGATGTAATAATTGTTACTAAATTTAAGTATGAAACACACCCACAAAAAATTTTTACATGTTTTTTTAATTTATTTTATTCCAGTTTCCTTTTGTAAAGCATAAGTGTCCCATCACTTTTGTGAGACACTGTATTATCAAAGAACTCATATTATCAAGTGCGATTACAATTGCAAACACTACGTATTATAATAATGAGGTAAAAGTTACTTATAGGGTCAAAGTTTACAGTTTTGCTACTGTTGAGTAGATCGTCGGGCTATCGATATATATCGTAAGTCGGAAAGCATTATAAACATATCAAAACCAAAACATTAAAATACAATTTAAATGAAAAATGATGTCTTAAATATAATTCACAATTAAAACAATATAAATTTAAAATACACAAACGATATGTTAAACATTGCATATAAAATACGTTACATTACAGCTCGTCATCACACATTATCTCGTTTTCCTTTGTACACAACGATCCGTATTCGCCCGAAAAACATCAAAGTCGGTGTCCATGTACACATCCATCTATTTCCACCTTAAAAATATCAGAGAATTGCACAACCTTGGCACTGCGCACTACATTGGCTCTGCCCATGCACACATCGATCTATTTTCACTTAAAAAAACATCCTAGAATTGCGCAAACCAGGCACCGCGCACAACCTCGGCATAGCGCACTACATTGGCTTTGCCCATGTACACATCCATCTATTTTCACTTAAAAAAACATCCTAGAATTGCACAAACTAGGCACCGCGCACAACCTCGGCATTGCGCACTACATTGGCTTTGCCCATGTACACATCGATCTATTTTCACTTAAAAAAACATCCTAGAATTGCACAAACTAGGCACCGCGCACAACCTCGGCATTGCGCACTACATTGGCTGTGCCCATGTACACATCGATCTATTTTCACTTAAAAAAAAATCCTAGAATTGCACAAACTAGGCACCGCGCACAACCTCGGCATTGCGCACTACATTGGCTGTGCCCATGTACACATCGATCTATTTTCACTTAAAAAAACATCCTAGAATTGCAAAAACTAGGCACCGCGCACAACCTCGGCATTGCGCACTACATTGGCTTTGCCCATGTACACATCGATCTATTTTCACTTAAAAAACATCCTAGAATTGCACAAACTAGGCACCGCGCACAACCTCAGCATTGCATTGGCTTTGCCCATGTATATAGCGATCTCTTTTTACTTAAAAATCAGAAATTGAATAAACTCTGCATTGTTCATATACTAAGAAATCGGAGAATTGCAGAAATTCGCGCATAAGCAACTCCATTGATTCGCGTTGGGAAAAAAAAAAAAAAAAAAAAAAAAAAAAAAAAGATTCTAGAAAAATTGAGCTTACTACAAGCGAATCAAGATCCTAGCCTAATTGATTTCTCAGCCGTACATTTCTTGCAAATACTACCATTCGATGACTTTTTCTGACTAACTAACCAGCATGGTATCTTACATTTTTCACAGAAAACGTTATCCTTCAATAATCGACAATCCATCAAAAATCCTCTAAAAAGTTCATACTCTATTGTTAATTCATACATAAATATCTGTTTCCAAAATTTTACGCTTGTTTGAAAACTCCCACCTTAAATTTTCCTTTATAATCTCCTGATATTTAATTACAACATCACTAACAGCAGTTTTAGAGCAAGCAATAACTAAACGCAAAAATATCACCTCAAGTAGCCAAAAATATATACACAAAATAGTATTCACGGTATCTGAGCGTTAAACAATCGCCAATAACAGTGTTACGAATTGTGTATTTAGATATTAATTTTAGTAGAATTCTAATTTAAAATGTTGTATTTCCTCCTGCAACGCAGCGTGAGAAAATTTTAAGAGAAATCTATACCGGAAAAGTAAGAATACAGGGCACGTGCATTAAACTTTGAGTAAACAGATATGTCGGTAATTTGTATTGAAATTGAATAAATCTAACTGACTACTAAATTAGCTGTAACCGTAATTCCATCCTCTTGTTTACATTGCGTTTGGCGAATAGTATGGGTTACCAGATCATATCATTTATCGCCGCTCTTGGTGATATTTTTTTTTGTTTAAAATTCCAGGTGGGCTATACAAAAGCTGTGCCGAAATTTCATTAGTTTTGGTTTCAAATAGCTGCAACGCAACTGAATCTGAAACATCTAATGACGAAACAGCTTTATCTTTATGCCTCGTCAGTGAACTTTTTAACACTCTTTTTCTAGTTTTTAGAGCTTCCATATTTATTACAGTTATACTCTTCAAATTTAATAGAGATTAAAATGGGAGAGCTCACCTTCGATTCTCGACGGACCACTTGAACTGTACTCAGGAGCTGGTTGACTTTCTATTTAATAACAAAGATTATCAGCAGAAAGATATTTACTTTATTATATATTTATTAATCATTTTGTTGCTGTAGAGGAACGATCTGGCTCCAAAACATTTTAAATTCTCAATCACAAAGCTGTAAGATTTGTTACAGCAAGTACACAAAAGAAGAGAATACTCAATTCAAATTACGTAGGTCGAGAGTATTACGCGCTAGCAGCGCCTCCTGTCGGCAACTCTTAATCACTACTGAGCAGCATTGTATAATGTGCTTTTAAGAAAACAAGATCCGGGAAAATGGAATGCAAAAAAATATTTAGTTACTTTCTACAGCATGATTATAAGCAAGAAAACATAAATATTTTTTTGCTTTTAAATAAAATCAAGGAAGAATCAAACAAAAGGAAATCATTTTTATAAAAAATTTAAATATATTATTTTAAGAACAAAATGTAATATTTATCGGGTGGGGGGGAATGACAATTCTCAATTCTGGAATTGAGGAACTGTGAAGTTGCACAAAATGCTTATTCAACTGGCAATGTCCCATTCTTAATAAGTTCTCTTAGCACATGTTTTTTTCTAAGGATGCTTTTCAACTCTTTTATTGAGAATTCGGTGCCTTGAGCGCTGACACAATTTTTTTTTGTCTGTCGAATTTCTCGCATTGTTACATCATCCACTTTTGAATATTTTATCACAGCATCTTCTGCCTTTTGCAATGTTTTTTTATCAATTGGTATTGGAGGAAAAATTTTACTTTCGATGTGTATTGGTTTCATATCTATTTTCTCTTTCATATGTTTTTTCTCAAAATACAAATAAGGAAATTCGCCTGATAAAGCAAACCTGTGATATGTGACTACAGCTGCTTTCGCCAGCTTGTTGTATTTATACACCGCAAAAGGAAGTATTTTGGATATTTCATTTTTATTATAGAAACGTAAAGCTATGCAAAATCTAAGAAATTCCAAAACGGGAGATGCTGGAGGGAAGACTTTTTTCTCTGTGGAAGACGTCTGTTTCCCCCTTTTAAAAACATAATGCGCAAGTTCAGCAACATGAAGAAAAAGTCTGATTAAAGTATTCGGATACAGAAATCCTGTGTGGCTGTAACTCGATCTGTCAATTATCTGCTCATCTTGGGCACACAGAATCAATACTCTGCTCGCAAGCTTTACTGTTATAGGATCACACAAAAATTCATATTCTAACCAAATATCTGTTTCTAGTATAGGGTGAGGTAGAGTATTTTCAGCTTCACACAGTTTTATCTGTTCATCCATATTAGCAATGAGTGGTGAAACAGGCAGCAGATTAAAAGATACATTTTTAATTTAACTGTAGGGCGCTGAGATAACATTTATCTAAATAAGAGATTTTTAATTTTTATTACTTTATGGCAAATTACTGAAGTAATTTTTAATTTATTGCAAAAATATTTCAAATGCTCAATCTAGTTATAAATTCAAGTACGGCTTTGTACATCAAATTTATTCAACTTAATTTTCTAACACTAAACCTATCCAAGGAGAATGAAGATTGCTTATTAATATTTGAGCCAAATACCATAATACTCCTTGACAGCACTATGAATTCAGTAAATTGATTATGCAGTCAAGTAATTTTATTTAATTCAAGTAATTATTTTCAAGTAATTTAAGTCAAGTAATTATTTTAATTAATTTTATTTAGATATAAAAATGTAAGCTTATGCAATTACAAAGATATAAATATAAAAAAATACTGTATTAGAAAAAGACTGAAAATTGAAGATCTAAATACATATATAAAAAAAATTACTAGTTTACTTTAAAAAATAGTCCAGATTATTCATTAAACAGAACGTGAACATACATCAGGAAATACAGGCATTGAAAACATAATTCCATTTTTAAAGAAATACAAATGAAAAATAATGTAGAAAATGAGAGAAACATTATAACAACAAAATTAAAAGAACAAACAGTAATTTAAACTAGATTTGTATAAAAAAATTGTCAGGAAAAATATATAATGATACAATAATTATGAGTGAAATACTTTAAAATTGGGGGGAAAATATACACATGAAGCAAAGCAGATTATTCATTCATCTGGCATTCTTCCATCTATAAAAAGTGTTCTTAATACAGCATGCTTTCTCAAAATGCCTTTCAATATCTTGATTGATAGTTCAGAACCATAGGCAGTAACACAAACTTTTTTAGTTTGCCGAATTTCTCGCATTGTTACATCCTCTACACCTGAATATTTTATCAGAGCATCTTGTGCCTTTTGTAACGTTTGTGCATCAATAGGCACTTTAGGGAATATTTTACTTTCTATCTGTATTGGATTCATCTCCATTTTTTCTTCAATATTAATTCTCTCCACATTTAAGCAATGAAATTCACCTGACAAAGCAAACCTGTGGTATGCAACTACAGCTGATTTAGCCAGCTTACTGTATTTATACACCGAAAAAGGAATCACGCTGGATATTTCATTTTTATTATAGAAACGTAAAGCTGTGCAAAATCTAAAAAATTCTAAAACTAGAGATGCTGGCGAGAAGACTTTTTTCTCTGTGGAAGACATCTGTTTCCCTTTTTTAAAAACATAATGCGCAAGTTCAGCAACGTGAAGAAAAAGTCTGATTAAAGTATTCGGATACAGAAATCCTGTGTGGCTGTAACTCGATCTGTCAATTATCTGCTCATCTTGGGCCCATAGAATCAATACTCTGCTTGCAAGCTTTACTGTTATGGGATCACACAAAAATTCATATTCTAACCAAATATCTGTTTCTATAGGGTGGGGTAGAATATTTTTAGCTTCACACAGTTTTATCTGTCCATCCATATTAGCAATGAGCGGTGAAACAGGCAGCGGATTAAAAGATGAATTTTTAATTTTTATGTTAGATAAATATGTAGAAACGGTCCAAGGAAAGCTAAGAAATTTAGTACCACTGTCACTATACGTTACTATGTACCACGCGGAAGCCTTTTGTAGTATATACTCCTGAGTGGTATTTATATCTGCAGTATCTTTGAATTCATCTAAAAATTGTTCAAGCATACTTTTTGACAATCTTTTAATACAACCCATAATAACTTTTTCTACTTCAGCTCGATCATTCCGTTCTTGAAATCGACAATGAAGTTTCGTGAATGCTCCAGAAAAGGCTTCAGCTTCATGCTGAATACCATAGTTCCTTAAAACTGATCGAAGTAAGGTATTGTATTTATTTCTACTTTTCAAGGCATCATCTTTATATTTTTCCCAACCTGGATATATTAAATAAGGATCCACCTAAAAAGAAAAAAATACATATAATTGAAAATATTAAATCTTTGCTTTTAATGGGTCAAAGTTTTAACTGAATTACGAAAGTCATAGCTGTCAACTTTTAAATATAAACAACCGGATGTTTCTGGAGGTGCAATGTGCAGCAGCACCATTTCGAAAAAACTCCAAATCGACTTTATTATGTACGATTTCATTTATTCAATTATTTATAATACATAAAATATATTAATATTAGTTAAATATTCTAAATTTTATATTCTTTGGCTCCTTTTATTTTGTGATTTTCTTATACTTAAGGCTGAGAAAATTCCGAAATTAAAAATTTCCCAGATGAAAATAAAATTAATAGTTAATATGCATACTACTGTGTGGTTAAAAATATTAATGTACCGTATATCGATGTAAAACAGAAATAAATAAAAATATTAACTGATTAAAAATTGGTTGAATTTTCATATAAAGTTCTACAATGTCTACAGATTAAGACAATTCAAATCAAATAAAATTTCATACGAATAATTACCCTGAAAATCACTGAGGGTGGGGAAATATAATTTGTACAATTTTTAAATTTCATTAATTCAATAGATTTTACTTATTGATAAAAACTATTTAAAGCTAAAAAACAGGAGAATCAGGGATCTACCCAGAAGATGTGATGAAAAATCGAGAATCTCCTGATTTTCGTCACGTATGAAAAGCTTTTATTTATTACTCTGCTAAAATGCGGTAGTTCTGGAAAGTTCTTTCGAATGTTAACTAGGGAGAAACGAAAAATGTCATATTATGTTTCGAAAATAAGTTTTAAAAAGCTTTTTATGGTTAAGACACAATAACACGCCGAATAAATACTAATTCAGAAGTCAAACAACAATTTTTTTTTTTTTTTTCGGTTTTGCAGCTGAAGATGGTGGTTCGGTAAAACCATCGAAACTAGTCCTGTGAAAATTTTGTAAATATAACGCTGATTTTTGTTGTTTGACTTCTGAATTAGCTTTTTATGGGTTCTAAATTTTGGCAAAAGTGCACGATCAATGGAGGTTTCATATCTGGCCGTTTTTCAATAGAAATTAAAATTTTATGCACTGAAATTGAGAATGGAGTATTCTGAAGAAACATTCAAACACATTCCATACAGACATGCTAAAAGGCTGCATTATATTTAGATGAAAACAATAATTTGGAAACTTAATGAAAGTACACTATAGTTTCACTTCGCAAGCTATATGCAGCAAAACAGAAAGCATCACTTTGCACAGTAAAATTTCGTCAACAGCAAAAGACCCCAAAGTAAGCTGTTTCTAGTGTACGAAATAATTTAATAATTTATTGTGATGAATAATTTATTATTATTAAATATTACAATAATAATTATTATTACATTATTGTTACATGCATACGGGCTCGTAATGCATCGAATGCACAAAGAAACCGATGATAGATTGATAAAATGTATTTTCCCAAAAGAAACACTTTGCAATTTTGGAATTTTCCACAAAAGTACTTCTACAGCTCTTCTCAGTATGACAGAGCACAATCAGTAGTTCTCTTTTCAAACTACTAAGAACTTAATATACGCAATGCAAAGCGCATCCAAACAGCGAAGCTCACACGGAGATCTTTCAATACTCCGAAGTCAACTCTGAACTAAAAATTAAAGAACTGATGCTTCACCGGTCTTATATAGTTTTCCGCAGGCCGCTGAGACACTTCCAGTACATCCCATTCCGCGAAATTATAGGAACGCATATACACATTTGGATATAAGATATATAGTTACAGTTACAGATAGTGATCAATTATAGTCACAGGGACCGGACCAAAATATCGTCAAATGACCGACTTGTTCGGCGACATTTGGCGATTTCTCACCAAATTTATCCGCAAAAATTAATCTCCAAAACTATCGTCAGTTTAGCGAAATCTCGCCGATTTAGTGAGACAGCCATTTACCTCCATGTTAAAGAAACAGAGTTGCCTTGGAATCTTATTTTTCCGATAAAGCTTGTTTCGTGTTTATTGAGGCCGTTCGTGTTACATTATACAAAATTCATAACATTGCTCCCTTCCCAAGGTCTGCACGTCAACGGCATTACAATTATGGACAGGGAGACATACTTACAAGAAAAATAAATGCAATACTAAAGCAATACTTTCAATAAATAACAAACATCAAATCAAATCCTAAATCAATAAATAAATTCACAAATTTACATATTTATATACAAAAAGGACTATGGTCTTAGTATCCTATTAATTTTTATACTCTGTAATGACTACGTACTATGGCCATAGTAAGGGGAATGAATAATTATAGGCTTAGAATTTGTTGATTTACGGATCCGAACTACGTCGTCGTTTAGGCTGTTTACGACTGTGTAAGGATCGTTCCAGAGTGACTGTAGTTTAGGAAAAAGTCTTTTCTGTCGAATCTGATTCCATAACCACACCTTGTCACCTTCGTTGAATCGATGTCCTGTGGCTCTTGTGTCCTATCAGGTCTTCATTTTATTCGTCGCCAAGTGCAGTCGTGTAAAATTGAGCTTTACTTCAAACCGTGCATAGAGATCTTGGATATACTCCTCAGGCGAAGACGCATCCGGAGTAACAGATCAGAAGGACAAAGGTTACGATCGAAGAGCATCTGGGATGGGGGATAGCCAGTAGTCTCGTGGACAGAGATAACTTCTTGTCCCAGTCTTGCTAATTTCTAGGTTATTAAGTATAGCTCGATTAAACCTCTCTAACATACCGTCTGATTGGGGATGTAAAAGTGTCATTTGAGTTTTGTCTAGGCCGAGTAATTTACAAAGTTCTTTAATTACAACCGAGATAAAATTCCTTCCTTGATCCGAATGTAAACGAAGAGGCACTCTAAATATGGAAATTGAATTCTGTATGATTACCTCTGCCGCCGTGACAGCCTCTTGATCAGAGACAAGATACGCTTCAGGCCAGTAGTAAAGTAATCATTGACAAAACAGTATGTATTTGTTGCCATCAGCAGTTCGTGGCAGAGATCCCAGGATGTCTAAGGCGATGCGTTCAAAAGGCGCTCCTAAATTGCTGTTTCCCTCAGCTGCGTTTCTTTGGTTTTTTTCCGGCCTACAATAGCATTGCAAGATTGGCACCACGTTTGCACGGGAGCTCTTCCAGTACTCCAGATGAAACGATCCCGAACTCTATGCAAAGTCTTCATTATTCCGAAGTGGCCTCTTGTTGGACTACTGTGAAATTCTTCCACAACGTCTGGAATCCGTGATCTTAGAAGGATTAGCTGCCATCATCCTAGTCGAACTTCCGGCACAACACGCCGTTTCGAATATGAAGTGAGTCTCCAGAGAGCCCAATATTCTTTTGTCGTAGGACTATAGTTCGAAATGTCTTGCCATTTAGTAGGTTTCCTAGTTGAAGCCTTCATTAAGCCAATTATCGGTTTATTTTAAGTTACCCTTTTCTGTAAACTCTTATTTCAACTTCCCTTCAGAATGAGAGCGCGGTTCAGCATTATACTAATTTGGTTTGGAACCAAGTTTTGTATTTAAAGGTTAGTGAGAACTTCTCAAGTGTGAGAGAGCTTTTAGTCTCAGACCACGTCGGCTCGGTGGACGTTCGCCAGATTAGTTAGTATTTAAATTCTTACGCCGTAGCGCCATTACTCTAATACTTATTGAAGTGATTTAAGTGCATTAGTACTTAGCTAAGGCTTGCTACGCACCATAAATAGGCCAATCTCACGTTTAAGCTCTGAGAGTTGCGACTATTTGGATTTTTACTTAAGCTTTACTTTAAATTGTTTGATTGTTCAGTTTTGACCCAAGCGGGGGTCATTATTTTTTCTGTTATCACTCCCGAGCTGGGAGTTGCTGTAAACAGTGATTTAAATAAAAGGGTCTTTTACACCCTTCTTACGTTGTAATTCTTCTAGCACTCACAAGAACATAGCTGCCTTCAGCTCACTGTTCGAGATCAGGACCTTGATACTGTCACCATTATGTTTGCCAAAAGTATGCACAGAAGACTTAGTCCTGACAACTTCTTGGGTCTCGATCAGCCGATGTTGAAGTTGTACGAGTAACTTGACGTATGACGTTCATGTTACATTATACAAAATTCGTAAAATTTGTATTATTCTATAGCTAAAAACACCCTTAGTGATACAAAACGAGCTCAAAATACTTGGGCTGGAACAATTCGACTCCCTCAGTTCTATGGATAACTAAACAAATTTTGGTATTGCAAAGTATATTAGGAAAGGAAAACTTTAAAGAAAAAAAGTTAAAGAGAGAAGAAAAAAAAAACGAAAAAAGCTCAGAATCGAATGAAGCTTGAAAAATCATGTAGAGAATGAAAACTTGAATTTATTTGAAGAATCAGTACTATAGATAGAAGGTGAATAAGAAAAGTACCGCAGTATCCGCCGCTTATTAATTTCACTGGCTTATAAACTCAGTCACTTACTACGTTCACATTTCTAGGAACCAAAAAGTTACAAACTAATCAATAGAAAATCCGCAACTTATTAAACTCAGATTGGCAAACGGTTTCTTCAAAGTTGGAATATCCTGCTTGTACCAATCAAAACTTTTCATAATTCATCATTTAATGTATTGTGGACGATGGCTTTATGTAGTGTTTAAATAAAACTGTTTTGACTGAAATTTTCGCACCACCCCGATCCCTTCTCTTGTGGGACTCTGTTTTCAGAGTTGTTTGCCTGCACTGGACTTCAGAGGCGTACAGTTTTTTTTATCTTAAAGTTAGCAAAAACAATCCTCTAGAAGCATTATAAATGAGTGAAGGATCATTCTCGAATACCAGCTGATAGGAGGTGGAAATGCCACTTCTATATCCTATCTTTGAAGGTTTCCACATTCAGAATCTTCCTCTTGGGATAGACACATTATGTTCATAGAGAGTCATGAAATGACTCCAAGATTATCGTATATTAGAGTCTTTGAATGGAAAGGAAAAGTTAACTGTAGACTAAAGGAGAAAAAAAGGAAAATATTGGTCATGTTTTGCTATCATGAAAAGGCAGATATTATTAACTAAACAGACAAAGGGTAATCTTTCTGCTGGCTAAAAATATAAATTTTGAAACTAGAATGCTTTCAAGCTATAAAGCTAAAAAAATGTTTCTATTTCTAGAGATTTATTTCACTAATTCGCTTAAATGCTAGGACAGAATTTTATATCAACTGACATATGGCTTACAATTTGGAGAGAGTAAAATCCAACATGGTTCATCAAAAGTTGCATGGTGAGGAGGAGGAAGCGGATTTCATGCAGCTGATAACTGGATACAAGACGCTTCACTTGAGCTGCTCAATGAATACATGCCACACGAAATTTATAGTACAAACGAAATTGGATTACGTTACAAAATATTGCCAGAACACGCATTACACTTTCGAGATCGCTATCAGTTATATAATTTACTTTATAATCACCTTGCATTTTAAGGTCTTTTTAAATATTTATATAGTATTTTTATATATCTAGAATACTTTGTATTGAAGAACATAAAAGGATTTCCTAATGAAGTCGTTTCATTTCATTGTTTTTTCATTATTTTAAAAGGCTAGGCAAATGTATATATGTTCTTACACATCCCTATACATGTTTTATTATTGCTGGTTATCTTACCTGTACATTCGAATAGTCACTGCTTGCGCTTTCATTTTCGGACTCTAAGTCTTTACAAATTCTGTACATTTTACCAAGCGCTTTCCTTGATTTATATGTCTCTTTTCGAATATTTTCCATAAAATCTGGATATTTCATTGGTCTATCAAGAGGATGAAGATGCACGTTTCTTCCATGTTTTGCGAAATCAACAGCTACGTGGAATATATTTGCAATTCTGATACATTCATCTGAGAAAATACTTTCAGCATCAGCGTGAGCAAGGTGTGCATTAGCTATTGTTCCAACTTGATCATTCTTGATATACTTAGCCAAAAAGTTGACCATCTCTGGCACCTACGGAATAAATATATTTTATTGCAATGATAATCTTGGCAACCAACAGAAAAGAGATGATAGAAATTTTTATTTTACAATCTAAAAAAAATAGTTTTTTTTTAATCCTATCAACAGATGTCTATTTTGGATGCATTTAGCCTGTGCGGTAAGTTTAATGGTAAAAGCTGCGCTTAGTTTTATAAAACCCGAGTAAAACAATTAATGCATTTCGAATTCTTTGCCGAAAGGTATGGAAATTATTAAAATTACCTCACTGATTTTATATTTATCATCATATTAAGACGTTTCAATTGAAATTTAAAAGCTGTCTGTTTTAAAGAAAACAGAAAAAAAGAAAGACTAAGAAGACAAATCAATAAAAACTTATTGTCCAGGCGAATACACAATGTATAACATTAGGAATGTCTTTTATGAACTACATAGATTTTGTTATTAAAAAACCTTAGTTAGATTCATTTTAAATTACATCAGCGAAATAGAGTACTATAAATGAAATAAAGATAAAATATTTAAGAAACAGATAAACAGTTTTCAAAAAGCTTAATTTGCCATACTATATCCAATGCAGTTTTCGAAGTTTAAAGATAAATAAACAATTTTTCACCCTAAGATTGAAACCGTAGCTTACCAGGAAAAATAAATTAAACTTAAAGATTTTCTGCCGCAAGATTTACAAGAGCTGTGAAATGATAGTTTTGATGACCAGCATAACGTCACGCAACGAAAATACTGCGTTGAGGCAAGAAAGACTCGACTAATGCGTTAAAGGAGAGATTATAGGCAAACCATTTGTTGATGACTGATGATCTCAAACGATATGCAAAGATTCTTTACAGTTTTCAAATCTGGGAAGAGAAATGGCGAAGTCAAATCGGCAAAACCGGAAATCAGACGATTTGAAAATGTCAATCCAAGTATAGCCATATTTGCATTGGCCCTTGCACCATCATATTAGAACTAAATTGTATTTGTCGATTGTCTTGCCCACGGTTTTGGCGATCTTCATTGTTCCGTCCCAATACCCACACGGCGTCTGTCGCAGAGCCTCTTCGAATGAAGGCTTCCACAGCCATAATCCGCAACTGCACTGGTTAACGGTCATTGGTAGACAGAATATGCAGCGACTTTAAAAACAGCTACCAGATTTAGTACTTAGAAATAATATTATATACGTTTGTTTGCGTAAATGGTAATACCAATTCATCAAAAATGAATGAAATTTACTCCACATACAACTTGTGAGTTTCTAAAAAAAGGAAATTTGTAGAGAAATACAAGGATATCAAATGCCTAAAATTAGTATTTGGTGAAATCACCAGACGCTGCAGTAAGCGCTCGTGCTTGCTGGGCGTTGAATCAAACAGGCTTTGAAAGTATACCTGAGAAAAGACAGTCCATTTTGCCTCTATCCAAGCCCAAAGTTGATCCGTAATATCTGCGAGACGAATGTGACCAGTTATCGGTCCGCGAAATCCTAGACCTATTGAATAGGAACTTGTCTGGTGGTGGGCAGACGAAGGAAGAAGCAGCATCTGACATGCTGAGAAGTCTTAAACATCTATCTCTAGCAATATGCTGACGGTCACTGTCCTGTTCACCCCCCCCCCCCAGGAATGCGTTAAATGAAAGATAGGACTTTGGGCTCCACAACCACCCTGATGTCACGATTGCTGGTGTGGGTAGCTTTAGTTCTTAGCAGATGAGATCGCCCATTATTCCATTATTTATGTCTAAGACCATTCCACACCGCTAAGCTTGGCGATCGTGTAATATGACGCTGACTTTTCACTTTGGAAGTTCACTTTGGAAGATAGCATTCACCTTATAAGCGTCTAATGTGTACTCAATCATAGTTGTACTCCACATTAAAGAGGAATTTATCCGAAGAGACTATCTGTTGCCAATCGGCACGCAAGTGACTGTGATGAAAGCGTAATAGCCACATGCGTCTGTGGTTTTGCGCCAGAAGAATCCTACACAAACAAATGCATGCACGCAATTCATGGTGCAAACAGATGCCTGCGAGCTGTTGAAGTCTAACAATGGCCCACAGCAGTGTTAAAATGTTGTTTCAACCGCCGAGGTAAGGTTGTACGAGTACAAGTCTGTCGCTGTCATGCGGAAGAAATGCCTATTATCCTGCACTGATATTAGATTTCGTTGTCCACTGCAAAAAATCATAAAAAATGAATAGTTTTAATCAAAGTTTGCTACTTGTGTGGTTCTTTTCAGCCCACTGCGTCCCCACACGCATCACTGAAGAGGCATTATGCCTCATATAAGCTGCGATTTCAAAATAGGAAGATCCTTCTTCTCCAACTTCTTCTCATCCGTTCCAAAGGTATAATTCACCTATATTGGGCCCTTTGTTTTCAAAGATGCATAATGATTTGTAATGTAACATTTATCTTTGACAGATAAAGAAACATTACAGTCGTTTATTTATCAGCTATAGCCATTTATTTATACGACTAACACGGTAGTTCCAAGGCAGCTGTTTAATCTATTCCTTCAAGTTGCAATTTTCACAAATAGTACAATAATTAACTGTGTTACTGAATCGATATTGTTAAAACATGTGAGAATACTTTCTGTAATACAAAGAATTCATAAAAAATCTTATTGTATGCCTCTACATAAATGGAGAGCAAATTAAAGTGTGTTGTCCTTTAACCACTAGGTCAAGTTTTGAATTTGATTGTTACATCAAGTCGCATCGCCACTAGTGGTGATCGATCCTGTAGCACATGAAGTGTCTTTATGTTCTAAGTTCTGTTAAATAAAAAGGACTGACTATTTGTATTAAATATGCACACATTAAATATTAGATTAAAATTGGTTACCATTTTAATTATCAAAATTTAAGTTTTAATACTATGATTCTAAAATTTAATTTAGTGCGAAATTTGGGCCTGTTTAAGAGAGATCAATTTCTTTATGTCTAGTCTTATTTCACTTAGATTTACTCATAAATTAGGATCCTCTTTTAATTTTGTTCTGTATTTATTTTTTAAATGTAACATGAAAGAACATCCTTGTTTACACAAATATATTGCGCAAAAAGGCTGTAGGGTTTATATTTATTTTAACTAACATTTATTTTAAGTTTAAACTATCTTTCCTGTCAAGCTTTACTTTCCCCTGGAATTGCCAATGCCAGAGTATGTAAATTTTAGTAGAACGCGCAAGGACTCAAATTGTCAGCGGAAGTAATCTGAGTTAAATAGAATGGAAACGAGTTCGAAGTGTGCTTTCTTGCTTCACGAGCGTGGAAGTGGCTAGTTAGAAATTGAAGAACCACGCGCTTCGGCCTGTGTGCTTGCCTCGGCAGTTTGTTAATCTTTCAACGTAATATTCAGAAGTTTGCTGAATTATCAGCGGTATCTTAGAACGCGGTGAGGTTAGTTACGTTTAGAGAGAGCCTCGTAGTTAGTCACTTGTTATTATCTCTTTTCAGTTTCTTATTTTTATTTTACCGCCGGGTCGGCATAGTTTGTGAGCGTCAAGAGCACGCATTTGTAATTTCTAAAGTTGAATAAAAAGGGATTTAAACCCTTCTCAAGACTTTGTCTACTTTCCAGTTCTTAGCAGTCACCACTATTGTTGCGTGCAGGTTGGAAGCGCGCAACATTACATTGGCGCCCGAACACTTGTCGAACTGAAATGGCCGAAAATTGGATGGAAGCTGCTGGACAACAACAAGAAATGGCAAGCCAATTGGAAGGATTTGGATACCTGGTCCAGACGATGAGAGCGTCAATTAAGCCAAACGTCAATTTCGACGGAAAAAATTCGGTGGCGATATTTCTAGAAGGCCTAGAAAATCACTTTCCAGCTCTACCCTGTGCCTGAAAGACAAAAAGTTGCCATCGCCACATCTGCACTAAGAGGACAGGCCGCGCTATGGTGGAAGAATATAGGCAAATTTTTATTAGGGGAATTCGGAGGCCAGACATATACATTTGAAAATTTCAAAAAATCGTTATTAAAGGCCTTCCCCATAGTGAAAGATCGAGCAAGGCTAGAAGCCGAACTATATAGTTTTTATCAACGGGATATAGAAAAGTGTTGACGGACTTTATTCTGCGAAAAATTAAGCTGACGGATATGCTGTATGGGAAGAAACCCGACGCGGAGATTATTGAAATAATCTTACCAATTGTTACCTGCTGTTCAAGACTACTTCGAAATTAGAAACCCAAGCACATTGCAGGAGCTCTTCGAATTGGCGGTCAAGTTTCAAAATCGCAGAATAGCGGAAAAAGCTAGAGGGGCATCGTATTCTCAAAGTATCCGAAGGACAATCTTCAAATGAGCAGACCAGAAATGCAAACCGCTCTTATGGGGGAAAGAGCTATCAAGCTAACTCATCGAAGCTCGAAGGTCAAGGCCCAAAAAGGAAATTTGAAAACAACCGTCCGCGTACCCAGAAGGCAGAAGTTGAAAGGAAAGCTTTAAACGAGTAGAGGGGCCTGTGAAAGCGAGGGTCCAGACCCCGGAAGTTTTGAAAAAACCCTCAAAAAGACACTTAAATACGGTCATCGTAAAGAACTCACAGTTACCAATTATACAAGTCCTGGTTGGCGATGTACCAGTAGAAGCCCTCATCGATACAGGAGCAGAAGGTAATTTTATGAGTGATATTTTTTTAAGAAGAACTTTAATAGGTTACGATTATTTAAAAATAAAAACACAGAAAAATCATAGCAGCGCAAGGACAAACTTGTCATGTATTCGGAAAATTATCTTTAAAATACAGGTTCAAAACGAAAGCCTTAAAGTATTAATTTTTGTAGTAAAAATTTGCAAAGTCCACTTATTTTAGGTATGGAGTTTTTAAAAGCCGCGAAGGCCAAACTGAATTTTCAGGAAAGTTCTATTGTGCTGGAGATGGATCGGAGGGTGGTGGAACCAGTGGAACAACCGCAAGTTCGACCTTAGCCATTTGAATGACCATGAAAGTCAAGCCATCCAGCAAGTGGTGAGTACTTTTTTCA